AGAGAATGCAAAGAGTGTGCAAAGCAGTAATCAGAGCAAAAGGTGTTACTTTGAAGAACCGAGAATATAAGACATATTTTCAGTCGTTTCATACTTTTTTTTTAGTACGTATATAATTACACATGAGTTAATTCATAGTTTTGATGCCTGCAGTGTGAATCTACAATTTCCATAATCATGAATATGAACTCTTTGAATGAGAAGGTGTGTCCAAGCCTTTGATTGTTTTATTTTTTATGATTATAGCTTACAGTCCATAAAAAAGTGATATAAATATTTATTGATACACTGTATATTTTACAGGAAGTGACGTGAATTGCCACCTAAATCAAAATAATACACAGATTGCTTATTTCACCCAATGTATTGTATCAGTCTAGATTGTTCTCACTTTGCATGCGATGAGTTATAAATTAGTTTCTCAATGTAGTTTCAAACAGAGAGGTAATTGTAAAACAAGAATAGTGTTCAAAAGTCCAAGTTTCACCTGTCTTTGAAACAAGAACTGGTGTGAAGTGAAGTCACTGGTCAGAGGTCTACTTTGTTTTCCACAAAGATAGATTTAACAAAATGGTCCTCAAAAGTAAGAAGCTAAGGGAAGTGGTAGAACATGATCTGATTTAATAGATTTTTGCCACTTAGTATGTTCCTGACGACATACTGGACAGCACTTTGGGGATGCCATTTATAGACTAAACAAAGAATGAAAGAGTGAACAGTTAATGTCTTGTGGGATCAGACTTTCTTTTTAACAATTATTATTGAAAGATTTGACATTTTCTTGTTAAGTACCAGAAACTCAAAACTGTTATGGATGCTTAATTTTTCCAGCCTGCAGCACAGTCAAACTGAGTTCACTGTTTCGCATGTGCGGCTTATCTTGCCTGAAGAGAAATCTAATTTTTTTGCTCAAGCATGCACTTGCAGAAAGTCATTCTAAAAACTATCAGACACTTGTCTGAACAGACTTAATGTGGAGAGAGACATAACATGGAGAAAGTACACATCCTAATGCTCCGTCCAACCCCTTTTCAAACTGTAAATTTATGATTATTTGTTTCCAGTATGAAATATATAAACAATGTAAGTCTATATCATCATTTTATTCAGATTTTTAACGCATGCTTTTAAGTCTATTTTTGACTACCGGTATTCTAACCCTAACCCTAACCCTAAACCCTAACCCTAACCCTAAACCCTAACCCTAAACCCTAACCCAAACCATAGGTGGTTTTTTACCCCCTATTCTAACCCTAACCCTAACCCTAACCCTCTATTTGTTCTATGAACCTCTATTTGTTCTATGAACCAAAGCAAATTGATAGTGTGTGAATTCCTGATTCTTATTTTGATACATTTAAAATAATTGAATTACTCAAATGTATACGCAAAATATTTGGTGATCAATTTTTGTCCAAATTCTTTCCTGAAGCACAAGTATCTGAGATGCGTCCAAGATCATATCAAGGGGTACGTGTCAAGGATCCAGTCAGAGAGCTACTGCAGAGGAAGAGAAGTGCAGCGCCCTCTAGTTCCAAGACAGCAGCCCCAACTGTGGTGACTACAACTTACTACTGTTACTTACTACTAGTATTAGAGGTTCCACACGTCTTTCTTTCCTGCTGCGCTCAGACTGTACATTGAGAACTGCTGAGCCTGTACATGTCATTCATCTCTAAATAAGTAAATACAGCAATCATGTGCATGTGCAATGTGCAATACTGCGACTGTCCCTATTTGTATATAACGTTGCACTACTTATATACATATTATATATATATATATATTTGTATTTTTTAAGATTGACACTGAAGCATTAAAAGCTAGTTAAGAAACTAGCAACTACTTATTTTATATGTGCTCTTACTACTACTGCAACAATGAAATTTCCCCACTGTTGGAACAAATAAATCTTATCTTATTATACTATCATACCTGTAAACAATGAGTTGTAAACAAACACTTCATGATTGAGGCCAAACAGTGTTGCTCGCATGCATTGATATTGTGTCCATGTACAATATACTATACCAGTTAAAAATTATTTACTTATTTTCACTTGTCACTTTTTACAGTGTCTGACATTCTTGTATACAGATGGAATCTATTTGAACATACAATCACATGTACATTAAAAAAGTGCTAATGGATTAATTGCAAGTTACAGTATTCAGACATGGTGATTCATGAGATTTCTTCAAAATATTTCCCATCCGGTGTCTCTACGTCTTTGCGAGTTGCTGGGTTTATAGCAGTGCTGTAAAAAGATCAATGACATGCACCTCCTCAAGATTGTTTGTTTTACATAATTATTTACACTTCCAGTCTGCAGATTCTGTGCCAAAAGGAACATTAGTCAACAAATTATAGCTCCACTTTGAGGCATGGACCAATCCCACAACAAACCTTTCCCTTGAATAATCCAGGTGTTTCTTTATGACAGTTAGAGACTTGGCTATGAGGCTGTAGGGCAAAAGAACTGCATCTTTGTTAGACTTTGTAGTGTTTGAACTGATGGACCAAGTCTCCACTCTGCAATTGTTTACATGTAAAGTCTAAGGAGATACGGTTTGGTGTCAGCAGCTTCTAATTTCTTAGTACGGCAAGAAAATGATAAAATAAAATCAGAGACGATGCTGGTGCAATGTCAAAACAAATAGAGATTGCCCTCGCTAGTGTCAGTACAAACATAGATGTCGTCAAACATCTGGGGTTTCTCATTTAAACGGACTGCTGCTGTCTGTTGTACCCTCAGGAGGAGACACATCCTTTTACGCAATCTCAACAATTCAGCCAGTGCTCCAAATTCTCTCCTTTGTTTCTTGTACCTAAGCAAACGTAATAAAATGTGTTGGTTTTAAATACAGTAATTACAGAGTCTTCAGATGTATTGGTTCATACTTGTTTTCTCCTGGTCCGTTACCCAATAATTTTCCTTCTTTGCGGCATTTTGAACATTAGTGTTGAGCAAAGTGGTGGTAAGTGGTACCATAATACTGCTAAATTAAAAGTACATCAATACAGTAAGAATACTTATTTACACACACAATTACAAAGATTTTTATGGTTTCAACAGTTCTTTTATTTTACTGGGTTTTGATGAAAAAAATAATCGTCCCACAAACAAACGCTGTAAGGATTCTAGTGTGTAGTGTGTTCTTCCCATTATTCTAAAGACCCGATCTCCTGAGCCTTTTTGTTGGACATTAAAAAACATGACATTTCAAAGTAAGTATTATCAAAGTCATGTTTAAGGCTAGAAAGATAATTATATCAATACAAGGAATCTTTGTCTGTTTGTCTCTTCCTCTTCCTATCGACCTGAGCATGGAAAATTAAAAGAGTCAAAACTAACTTCAAACTTTCAACATTAGTCTTCCAAGACTAGTGCACCCAGAATCACTACATGGAGCCATAAACATTTTCAAACATGTTTTTTACAAGGACAAATTTGTAAAGGATAGAGAAGCACGCGCAAAAATCCTAATCCTACCATAAAATCCTTATATGATAAGAGTGTCACTCGTTACTTGTTTGTCGTGTGACTTCTGTCTAGTTTTATAACCTTCACCTGACCCATGTGTAAGCAAAAGGCTATAAAACAGTTTGGCTTTATTGCTGGCTACATTAATAGAGAGACAACCTTGCAAGGCAGGTTAAAAATCGTGTGACGCTCAGTGTGTTCAAAAAACATATCTGTGTGCGTGTCATATGTCTGTGGCTCACATCTCGCCGACCTGAGCTTTTGGATATGACTTACGCATGATACATTGGTGTGCATCCTTGAATTTTGAATTATTAGGTGGTTAATTTTCAAAACAATATAATTTTCCAGTTTTATGTTTAGTCTTTGGTTCTAGTTCGCACATCTTTTTTTTAATACTTTTTCATAAAGAAAACTAAAAAAAGAGGGGACCACCGTAACTCAGTCATTCTCTCAGTCCAAAGGGTCAAATAGTGAAATATGAAAATGATTCACTCTTCTACTTGGATAAAGAAAGCATGTTGTGGTCTGATTTGTTAACTACATTTTACTCGTTTTAAGACCTGCCGTTGGAACAAACAAAATGTATATTAAAAAGTGAGGTACCACACCTTTAAGGGTCAAAATGAACACAAATGTAGTGCAATATTTGCTCTGTTTAAAAACGTAAATTCCTATTCAATGTTAGTGTGCGATTAGCTGCTCCTTCAACAGACTTTTTATATGAAATGACATTATTATCCCAGTGCAAACAGGGCTCCTTCTTACACCTGTCTTGGCAAAGCTCTTGAGTGTCAGTGGAGTTTTCCTGGCTTAATTATACAACAGTTTAAGAGTTCCACAAGTCTGTTATGGCCACAATGATTTGTTATTATTAATCTTCTCTTTTTTTTCTTCACTTTCAGGAGGTGGTATCTTTCACCAGTAAAGGTAAATCATAAATACATAACAAAAGTGCAAGGTGTACTTTTATAAACATCAGAGCTGAACACAGGACATTTTTTCCTCATTCTCACTAATCATTCAGATTGGTGCAAGTTAAATAAACAACAGAGAAACATTGTATCGCAGATATAGAAACACGCAATTGAGATACTCATCTAATTCTGCTTTCTGATTGAAATTGTCTGAATTGTCAAACCACTATATGACAACATCAAACTTCCTATTCCATACAGTATAACCATTACAAATGTTATACATGAAAAACATGATTTGTATTCGTTAAGACAATTTTACCGCCCTCTAGTGTAAGTTTGTAACACAAACCTGAAATTCCTGTAAGCATCCAGTACATTTTGATTGTGTCAAAATATGTTGATTTGACCACTTCCAAGCAGGCACAAATCCTTCCTTTCTGTAGATAAAGCCACTTAGAAGTGCAGATTTTATTTCAGTCAACCTTTTACCACTACTAATTGAACCAAAACATCTATCTTCTCTCATCACACTCCTAGGACTATTCACCTCTGAGCCTTCTGCAGCAGGGAGAGAGGGGTGTTCTGGGTGGACAGCTATGCCCACCACCAGTTGTGCTGTCCAGCCATCTTTCCTGCTCAGGTCTGCCCCCGAAAGCAGCCCGCCACATACACTTGGACCAAACCAGTCCTACACTGTCACCACCGCCCTGTCTACCAGCACGGAGCTCTACATGCAAACCCTGTGCCCCAGCTACACCATGCTTACCTACACCCACACTCCTCTGCTCACCAACTTTGGGGTAAGTGATCAAGCTGGATGATATGGTAATAAAAATGTAATGTGATTCAATGGTTCTCTGTTGGAGGGACCTGATTTTCCAAAAGTGAAATTAGGAAGCAATTGCATACATCTAACTTAAATATTTGACCACTTTGACCACCGTAAAGCATTTTTCCTACAACGGTGAATCAAAATGGTGAATCACAAAGTGTTTTTAATGCCCATTCAGTCAAGAAATACAGAATCGTGACATAAAAGTTAGATACCCTGGCCCACTCCACCTCCAACCACATTTCCTATTCATGTGTTTCAACTTCCAAGCAAACCATCATCTAATTAAATAAGTTATTTATTTGTTTGGATGAGGAAAAGTACTTGCAACAAAGCTCAGTTCAAGAAAGAATGATTTGCCTGAATCCCATCAAATATTCAACCTCTTAGTGAATGATGTGATGATTTAACCCAGCACAGTAAGGTTTGGACTCTCAGAAGAGGCAGAAACAGACAGGCTGTAGGTGCATCTCAAGTTTTAGATACATCTCAATTCAATTCAATGTATTCTTGTATAACAGTAGGTATCTCAGAGGACTTAACACAACCATTGAAATCGCCAACACAGATCAGAGAATCAAGCCGTTCAAACACAAGAAGTATAGGATACATAGGTACTCAAATTCAAAACACTTTCTTTATTCCCAAGGGGAAAATAATAAGAGCACATGAAACAGATGACAGGAGACAAAGATTGCTGCTGGCCACATAAAGTTAAATAGATATAAAGCTTTAATCCTTTTGATATTGAGTAGTTAGTTGTAGTTAAGTAATCTTCTCTCACATGAATAATGTTTATAACACAATTCTAATTGCAAAACTCATGCCAATGACATATATTATAAATTCAAATGAAAAAGAACAGAATCAATTATGAATAGAAAAAACGATTTTCTGTGGCTTTTATAAAAGTTTGCAATGTTGTGTTTTTTTCAAACCAGATAAAAACCGGCTTGGTGATAAGGCTAATGCTAATGCACTAGTTTTTTATGGGTTATTGCAACATGCCTTGGTGGATATTCTATTACTTTAGGTATATTCATTTTTGCTAGGCTTTTCCGTAAAAAAATGACAAAGGCTGGGGTTTGTAGACTGATTTACAGATGTTTTATCAGATTTTATTTTGAGCTAGAGTATACTTAAAGCTGGACTAACTCACTTTGTGATTTTGAAGCAGCAGTTTCAAATGAAGGCGCTGGCCTCGCTCTTTCTGCTCCCCTCCCCTCTCTCACGAAGCTTTCGCCCCCCACTACCCCCCCTCAAGCGCGTGCTCGTTTGCTGTTGTTTACGGAGCTGGACCCTGGATCTATAATAATATCTGGATTCTTCTCTTGTTTAGGCCCAAAAACAAATGGAAATGTCGCAGGCATTTTTTGTTCCTCCTTTGCTTGCATGCCCAGTGCTTAAGTAGTCTCGTCCGCTTCCCGGGTGCCTCTCTCCCTGTTCTTCAAATGCTTCATGTTCGCCTCCGCCATGATGCTCGTCTACCTCAGCTGTCTGTGCGTGCTAACGAGAGACCTGTAAATTGTCCCAAGAATGTGGGGGCCAGTGGTCCGCTGTGATTGGTCACAATCTGGTCTCAAAATAAATGTTTTTCCGCATTGCGCAAAAATTCGATCTAAAATAAAATTACACTCCAGTACAGACCTGCGCTACTTATTCTTCAAAAGGACGTATATCCCAATGCACTGCATGGATATGGATTAAATTTTCCACATGAATACAAAAATAAAGTGAGGTAATGCAGCTTTAATGATGTGGTATTTTTCCTGTTTATCTTTAATATGAAATATAGTAAGTTTCATGTCTTCAATGGGTATTGACTCCATGTACACTGTCAATATTGATGACATAAGTATTTCAGAAATGTAATGTAAAGTACTTTCTACTGGAAAGTACAGGAATCAATGCAGCGAGTTACAAAGCATCATGGGTCTGTCACCTCAGGGCCCCCATAGTAAAAATATGACCGCACTCAAGAATAGTTTGCCTTGTTGACCTTAAAATGAAACATGTTCACATCGTGCAATGAAATGGTTGGCGTCAGCCATTGAACTCATTCTAAAAGATGACCTGAGTTTAGTGGAAAGGTTAATAGTTTGAGGCTAATGAAGACAGATGTGACACTTGTGACTTGTGAGTAGTTAGATGTGTTTGTTTTGCAGACAGTAGCTCCAGTGCCCACTCATCTGCCGCAGATGGACTCAGACTGTAGCCTCACATACCTGCCCTGGACAGCCATGTCCAGCCCCGCAGCGCTGAGTGGATCACCTCTGCTCCATGTGCCTCTGTCTGTGCCTTTCGCCACCATGATCCCTCAACTGGACCTCCGTGGGCCAAGTGCAGAATCATCAATCCAAGAGCAGCCGATGCTTTCTGGAACAGAGAGCCCAAGTGAGCGAGAAGTACCGGAGATAAAGCAGGAGTCTCCCAGCCTTCTGGATGCACTTTTGGAAGAACAAAAATCAGATAATGAACAGCATAAAGACATGTACAGCAATCCGATCTATGTGACACATGTCTAATATCGGTAATCTTGCATATGAATTGGTCATATAAAAAATAAACTTGGACTGTTGTGATGTTCTAAAGTCTTGACTTGCTGCAATGCATTGAAACATCCCCCAGCCCAAGTAGCAGCAAGTGTCAAGATTAATTTCACGATTATTAGCTAAATAAACACACCTACAATCTATCTAAGTTTAACATTTTGCAATATCTGATGAGTAATTTCAACATAATAAAAACCTCTTCTGAAGTTAGCGGAGTGTTTTGGAAGAGGTAATAGCTGGAATAATCAACAGACTATTAAACAGTTAATTAAATATTACTAATAGTGAACAATAATTTTCCTTAGCAACTGACTTGACACAGCCTTTTATGAGTCCATAGATTATGTACTTTAAATCAGAAGAAAGAAAGAAGGACATCAATCTGAAGCAAAATGTTTAAAGGTTAGGTTATTGTGAGTACAGTAGTGAGTACAGTCTTTTCATCATAAAGTTGGAGTGGTGGATCTGTTCGAGGCGGTGCCCCAGGGTCTTACCATGAAGGGAAACTGACATGAGGAGGGGGTTGGCGTTACACCTGGAAACAAGAAGATGGTATCACTAAACCAAAACATTCTTGGACAGCTCCCAGAGTGAAATATTATGCAAAATGTACAATGGTACCCTAAGAGGACGCTGGCACAAAAAGGAGAGTTTGGGCTTAACTTGATTCCTTGTGTAATATGTGCAAGTATGTTCATGTTAGGTGAGAGTGAAAGAACAGACCCAGAGGTGATTTGTAACAAGGTCACAAGGCAGAAACAATGGATGGTTTTTGGAAGTTGTAAAAGTTAGAAACTACTCACAAGACGGAGCAGGTTTTAGTCAGACAAGTTTGAGCTGCCACCGAATTGAGCTGATGGTGGTTGGATCCAAAGGCTACAGCAGCATGTGGGGTCGCCGAGAGGCATTTCTCTCAGTAATTACACAGCCAAGTCATGAGGAGACCCTTTAAAACCCATATATTGCTTTTGGCATCAGTCAGACCTCATGGCAACTGAACATCCCAGTGCTCTAAGCATTAACCTTTCCACTATGATACATTAAAGCATGTTTGTAAGGGATTATCCCAACCTCTTAACACTTGTTGAAAATGAGTAGGGTTTATCTTTTTTCATTGACCTACAGTATCTTGTTCTGAGAAAGAGTTTCTGCAGTAACATGCCTGTGCAGAGTGTTTACTACTAGGGGCTGTCAGCCGCTTCATTTTAAAAGGTTGTTGCTCAAGGTCACAGAAATCTGGCACCCTCAAGAGAACACATTTCACAATAGCAAACTCCCTTTGAACAAATGCAGCAGTTACACAAGTTCCAGTTTATTTTGGTAAAGACTAATGGCTTTATTTGAACTTGGTTTGAAATGGTAGATGAATAAGGTTAGAAAATATTGCGACATGTCCATTATTCTCATGCCATTAATTGTATTTTTTTCCAACTTGACATGATCATGCGGAGTTTAGGCCAGTAATGGTCGGTTTGGAGACTTTTTGTGACTAGAATAAAACATGAATGGACGATTATACTCGGGTTCAAAGTGATAATTAATAGTTACCTAATGTAACTTAAGTTCTACGAATAGGTGCGTAGTCCCTTAGGACTTCGCTAGTGGGATATCACGTGACCCCCAGGTCACAGACGCCAGAGAGATCAAAATAATTTGCTCCAATCACCAGCCACCTTCCTCTATAAATGCCCCTGCACAAGGCCGCACCCCCTCTTGAACTCTGCCAAGCCGGGCTGGCCTGATGGGCTCGTAGCTAAGGGACTACGCACCTATTCGTAGAACTTAAGTTACATTAGGTAACTATTAATTCTACGTCATGGTGCTACGTCCCTTAGGACTTCGCTAGTGGGACACAACGCGGAGGCCGTAGGAACATGTACTCCCAGCAGGCCAGCGAAGGGTGATTGGAGCTCCGCCCGAGCAAGACCCTCACACCGTGAGAGGACTCAGGGCAGAAGAAACAAAGCGTGTTACCGGGCCACTCCTACCAAGGACGCCCCCACGTAACACCAATCGTAGGTCAACCGTAGTCACAGGACGCCTCTCCCAAGAGCTCCTGATGTAGACTACCAGACCGATCAAACACACATATATGTACCGCACCTGTAGGATGCCTCTCCCAAGAGCTCCTGCACCAGGGCGGAAAAATAGACCGAAGGCCCACTCCTCAGGGGAGGGACCCAACGGTCCAACTCAATCCGCTGCACTCAGCACGGAATGGGCCACCGACCGGTCCGACACATCCGAAAGATAAGACCGGACGAAAGAGGAGGACGACGCCCAAGAAGCCGCACGGCAAACGTCCTCGACCGACGCCCCCCTGAGAAGGGCCGTAGAGGCCGCCATCCCACGCGTGGAATGCGACCTGAAACCCACCGGGGGGGCCAGGCCCTGCGCCTGATACGCCCGTCGCACCGCCGTGGCGACCCAATGCGCCAGCCGCTGAGCCGACAGCGGGGCGCCCCTGTTCTTGGGGCCCAGACACACAAACAGCTGATCACCCGACCTGAATGACGACGTCATGGCCAGGTAATGCCTCAGCATTCTGATAGGACACAGAAGGTGCTGCCGCTCCTCCTCGGGGGAGGCATGCGGCGGCGGGTGGAAAGCCCTAATCCTGATCACTCTCGACCTAAAGGCCGACGTGATGACCTTGGGGAGAAAAGCCGGATTGGGCCACAACTCCACCATGCCGTCGTCCTCTCCAAAGGACAGGCACGACGCATGGACTGAGAGCGCACACAAATCGCCCGCCCTTTTTGCAGACGCCAACGCCAGCAAGAGGGCCGTCTTAAAAGCGATACAATCGGGACTCGCCTCCGCCGCCGGTTCAAAAGGCGAACCCGACAGCCCCCTAAGGACCACCCTGAGGTCCCAAACCGGAGGCGTTCTCTGGAGCGGGGGCCTCCTCCTGCGCGCCCCCCGCAGAAAACGTTTAATCAACGGGTGAGAGCGGGCTGTGAACCCCCCGAACCCGTCGTGACCTGAAGTAATGGCTGCCGCAAACACCGCCAAGGTAGCGACAGCCCTCCCCTTGTCGAAAAGCTCCTGTAGGAATCCCAGGACCCCCTCCAGCGGGCAAAACCTGGGATCCCAGGAACGGGAATCGCACCAGGCACTGAATAGCCTCCACCTCGTGGCGTAGGCCCTCACGGTGGACGGCGCCCTCGCTCCCTGAATTGTCTCCACCACCGCAGGGGGAAGACCCAGATCTACGAGGCTCCGCCTCTCAACCTCCAAACCCAGAGCCTGCGGCCGATTATCGGACGTGAAAACAGGGCTCCTGCCCCCTGGACTAGAGCCCCCGGCTCGTCCGGGAGGGCCCAGGGCTCCATCACCGCCATGCCCCTCAGGAAGGGGAACCACCGGGCATGCGGGCTGTCCGGAGCCACCAGAATCACCGACCTCCTCTCCTGTTCGATCCTCCGCAGTAGGACCGGCAGGAGACGCACCGGTGGAAAAGCGTACAACAGGCCGCCTGGCCATGGGTAATGAGCCAGAGCGTCCACGCCTAAAGGCGGCTCGTCCGCGGCCCTTAAGGCGAACCAGGACGGGCACTGTGCGTTCTCTGCACTGGCGAAAAAGTCGACTACTGGACGACCGAACCTCCGCCAGATCTCCGCGGCTACCCGTGGGGCCAGGCCCCACTCGTCCTGGAGTGGGCCCCCCCTGGACATCCTGTCGGCTCCCACGTTCCGGGCCCCCGGGACGTGGCGCGCCCTGAGAGACAGGAGGTGAAGCGCCGCCCACAGCAGCGTCACCGTCGCCATGCGATGGAGAGCGGGGGACCTGGTGCCCCCCTGCCTGTTCAGATAGGAGACCACTGTGGTGTTGTCTGAGCGCACCATCACGTGTCTCCCCTGCAGCTGAGGGGCAAAGTGCAGCAGTACTCTGTGCACTGCCTCCATCTCCAGCAGGTTGATGTGAGACGGGCTGAGTCCGACCAGCAGCCTCCTACAGAGCTCTGGCCGAGGACCCCGCCCCATCCTTCGAGCGACGCGTCCGTGAACACCTCGGCGTGAGACACCGCGCAGGCCAGAGTCACTCCGTCCCGCAGTAGACCCGGAGTGAGCCAGAACCTGATGTCCGATGCTGCCCCTTGGGGAACCCAGATCAGCCTCCCCCCGTCCCGGGAGGGGTGAAGCCTGAGGCGCGAGAACCACCTCTGAAAATTTCTCATGTGGAGCAGGCCTAGCCGCACCACAGCATGAGCCGCTGCCATCATCCCCAGCAGGGACCTGAGGCGCCGAGCGGGAACTCTGGGGCCCGCCAGAACCTCCCGGGCCAGACGGGTAATATTCGTCCGTCTGTCCACGGACAATGCAGCACGGAATATCACAGAGTCTAGCTGCAGACCGAGGTAAATCATGCGTTGGGCTGGCTGCAGCTTGCTCTTCTCCCTGTTCACCACAAAGCCCAGACGCTGTATGTGGGACAAGACCCATTGCGTGTGGCTCACGGCCACTTCCCTGGATGGGGCCAGTATTAACCAATCGTCTATATAGGTCAATATTCTTACCCCGGCACGTCTGATCGGCTCCAGAGCCGCTTCCACACATTTGGAAAAAGTGCGAGGCGCGAGAGCGTACCCGAAAGGGAGACGGCAGTACTCGTAATTCCTCTCTCCCACTGCGAAGCGCAGAAATCTCCTGTGTTCTGGCACTATGGGTACGTGGAAGTATGCGTCTGTCAGGTCTATGGATGTCATCCAGTCTCCTTCCCTGACACACTCGAGGAGCTGCCTTGTGGACAGCATCCGAAACTGCCGTTTGGAAATGCACTCGTTTAACACGCGCAGATCCAGAATGGGACGCACCCCGCCTGATTTCTTTGGCACCAGAAAGTAAGGGGAGTACAGCCCCCTGGTGGCGTCCTGCGGGTCTACCTCCACTGCTGCGCCTCGACTCAGCAGGGAGGAGACCTCTGCTTCCAGTGCCTCTGTCGATCCCTACCTGAGAGCGTACTGCCCGTAC